TCGCGATGACATGATGATTTTCAGTCTGATTTTTTGGTCAGTTGGTTTTCGCTTTCTTTGAAAGTTGTAAGAAAATTAATTATACCGTTAGATAGATCATATTTCAAACTATATTTCTCTGTATTAAAATCATGAAAAAGTGTGATTTTCATTCTTGGCAAAATGTCTGCCAAGATGCAAACTGTGTCCCCGCTTCTCTCCACATAGCAACCTATGTAAAATAATGACGATAAGGATATCGATCAATAATTTTTAAAGCCGATGACATTCATACCGGTGCTTACGCTATGAACTTTAGGTGTATGTGTCAAATATTAGTGAGTACGTTTACATGCAACCAAGAACGACAGGTAGGGTGTGGATGTTGATAAAGAGAAGACACACCCACACCCATCAGATTCCTCTTTTTTCCTGTTGTTCGAAGATTTCTCTGCTCGTGCGCGTCGAAATAGTAATGCTATAGAGAAAAAGCATCCTAATCATTATAAGCAAGCATGGAACAAAATTTATTTGTTGCAACAGAAAGATCAATTACATTTTCTCTTTTCCAAGTCCTATGTTTTTTTTTTGCATATTGTTACATGTGGATGCATTGGAGGGAGAGACTTTTGCAAGATATTGAGTGATTTTTCATCAAATGAAAATGCTTTTGCGTATTTGCCTATTTTATCAGATACCTTACCAAGGTTGTTGTAGGGAATAGTCAAATAGGAATGATTCTCAGGAAGAAGTTTTTTCTCTAAAACCCAGCCGCCATTTTGTATTCTCCTCGCTTCTTCTTGATTATTCCAAATTTGTTACAGCAATACGCTTTCTTCTTGTCATTGGATATCTCTTCGAGTGATACCGTCTACCATTGTTCAGCCTTGTCATTCTCACCTTGCGTCGATAATAATGTATGCATTCGTTTCGATACTGTTCCAGTGACTTTTTCTCGCATTCGCTTAGCAAGAGTCGTGAGCTGCTGATCACTGTTATCACTAATGAGTGTAAGTGTCACTTTTCACTAGATCATTTTGCTATCTTGAATTTTTTGATTTGCTGAACACGAAAAATCGTGTGCATACAAAAGAGAAAATCGATTTCATTCTTGAAATAACTTATTCGGTCAATGGAAGCAAAGCGAGCTGATGAAGTCGACCGATCAATTGTCATTTGAAGAGAACACCGAGTTTGTTTATGCCGATGACAAGCTCATGCCGACGATAATCAATAACCACATTTCGGTCATCACTGGTTGATAAAAAATTATTGAACGATATAAGTCCACCTTATTTAATTTGGGTTTCCAAATCAACCTTCTTAATGGTTTTACCTCGAAATACCATAAGTGTTGTTGATCCATCGTACATTTCATTCAATTGTTCGGTGTGAAGTTTCTCGATGGTTCTATGTAAGTTATGGATAAAGAAGCCTATTTTAAGAAGAGTCTCAACTTGAAATACAATTTTTCCTCCTAATTATATAAATATAGTATTTACAATATAGAGAAGAAATTTAAGAAAAATGGGAATATACCCAAAGTTAAATGGCTTGATGAGTTCAGGTGGCAGATAAACATGAGTTTAACACGCAAAACTCGCGCACAAACCAAATCAAACCTACATTTATTGCGCCAAATGAATGCCAAACTCAACCTTCATTCAAAACTCAATGCTTAAACTAGCCTGAACTGAAGCTCATTAAATCAAATCAAGCAAAAACAGGAACTCATGATACTAAATCTAGACACCATCTCAACTGATTACAATAAATCCAAAGCCAACGCTCAAACCAAGCCGAAACCCAAACTCATCAGATCATAAGAATATAAAAAAGTTGAACCAATTAGAGAAAGTCGAAACCGAAATCGAAGTCAAAATCTGATTCCGAACGCTGATTCATCACAACAGAACGAAATCAAATCTCAATATCCCAACACACACACAAAGACGACACGTAAATGGAGCCTAAACAGAATTCCAAACTAAAATCTAAGACAAAGCAAAATTCGAAACCCAAACGAAGCCTAAACCCAAGAATCGATGGGTTTTTTTATTTAAAGCTGAACTTTGGTAAAGAAAATGATGCCCACTTCGCCAAAGAGCGGCGGTATACGGAGACTAAGAAACGACCTCTTTATTTACGAGACCTTAGGCACATGGATATACTTTACAAAAACTTTCAAGAAACATTCCATATATTTTCAGTCAACGACATGCTGATTTACTTCATAATGTCCTTCGAATGACTTTTTATAACAAACGCATGCACACACTTTGTACCTTGTATATTCTCAATGGTGCACTTACTAAGTCATCAAAATTATTCATTCACATATATATATACGTATATCTAGGTGTATGAATGTGACTTACTAAGCGTGAATCGATGTTCCACACCGATATGCTCACAAATCCAGTGCCATTATCATCATCTTATGTTTTAATTGATACTAGTGAAAATAATTTTACACCACATACAGACTGAAGACTTTAGCCTAGCCTGATGATCTGTCGGGTATCAGATCAAGCTGACAACTCCTGCCTAGAGGTGTTTAATTATTTCTCAGGATGACCTGATCTTTCTATTAAATAATCTACGAAAAATTTTTAGGCTGTGGGTGTGGGTGAATACAAAGTCAACAAGGATACGACGCACATCAACACCTACATCCATCTTTGTTTTTCAAATGACAACTATATACGGACGAAAAAAACTAGCAGAAAATATAGGAACACTTGAAGAAGACATGATGAGATAGAAAAGGGCTAAACTACATCAAGAGAAGAGAAGGAAAGGAAAAAAAAGAAAAAAAAAGTACTGTACATGTCATTTATATACAATACAAAAATGGCAGAGAGGAAAGAAAAGTACCATATATAACTGTTTCACGCTGTAACAACTTGTTATTTAAAAAGATGGCTGTTGTTAGTGATTTCAACGATTTTTCAATTATATGATTCAGTGAATGCCTTTTACACACGTAAAACCTTCATAGCCATTGTTGGCAATCTCTTGACACTTTTGTCTATACACATTGAAACCACCAATATACGGCATGAAAACTCTGGGTTTACCATCGATATTCGCTCCAATGTACCATGAGTTTGCTAGAGGAAAGAGAGTTGCATTAGCAACCTCATTAACATGAAGGATCCAGGCATTCTCTGCTTCAACCTGCGGTTCGATTGTATCGTAATCATGCGTACGAAGATAGTTGAGACATTCGGCAATCCAGTCGACATGTTGCTCGATAGCACGAGGCATATTGGACAATACCGATGGACTACCAGGACCGGTGATGATGAATAAATTGGGAAAATCAGCTATCATCAAACCAAGATAGGTACGAGGCCCTTCCGCCCATTTGTCTCGAAGCGTCTTGCCAGAACGACCACGAATATCGATTTTCAGCAAAGCTCCAGTCATTGCATCAAATCCCGTCGCAAACACAATATCATCCACTTCGTAGATTTTCTCCTTGACACGAATACCACTAGGTGTTATTTCATCGATAGATCCGTTTCGAAGATCAACTAACGTCACATTGTCACGATTAAAAGTCTGAAAGTAATTGTTGTCGACGCAGAGACGCTTGGTACCTATTGGATAATTCCGCGGAACCAAAGCTTCAGCCACTTCGGGATTTTTGACAGTTTCGCGGATCTTCGTGCGTACAAATTCGGCTGCAGTATCATTAGATTCCTTGTTCAATATGAGATCATTGAAGCTCAACAGAAAACCGACACCACCAGTTTGCCAACTTTTCTCGAACTCATCTTGTCGTTCTTCTGGAGTGACAGCCATTGCTGAGATATTCCTTTTGTCTTTGACTATAACTCCAAATGGTGTATCAAAGATCTGTCTGCGATACTCTGCGTAATTCGATTTGAACCATTGTTCGTATTCGTCTTTGATAGGCCCATTACGAGCTGGAATACTGAAATTTGGTGTTCGTTGAAATACAAAGACATGATCTGCTTGTTCGGCGATTACCGGAATCGATTGAATGCCAGATGAACCGGTACCAATGACGGCTACACGACGTCCATGAAAGCAGATATCCTTATGTGGCCATTGACTTGTATGGTAGTGATTACCATTAAAAACATCAAGTCCTTTTATTTGCGGAATATGAGTTGCCGAGACGCAACCGATGCCCATTATGCAAAATTTGGCGAAGAGCCGATCTCCTTGATTTGTTTGTATCTCCCAACGTGAATGACTCTCGTCGAAAAATGTCGCATTCACTCGTTTACCGAGTTCAATATCCTTACGAAGATCGAATTTATCGGCAACATAATTGAGATAACGCAAGATTTCCGACTGAGAAGCGAATAATTCCGACCACTTCCATTCATTTTGTAATTCTTCTGAGAATGAGTATGAGTATTGCATACTGTCAACGTCACAACGTGCACCTGGATAACGATTCCAATACCATGTACCACCGATTCCATCACCGGTTTCAAGAATTTTTGCTGAGAAACCTTGTTCACGTAAGCGATACAACATGTAAAGTCCTGCGAAACCCGCACCAATAACTACAGCATCAAGCATCTTCGGTAATATCTCATCACTATTCATGTCTATCATTGTTTTCTTTATGAAAATAACACAAGTTGCTATAGTAATAGAGAATAAAGCTAATACGAGGCGGTGTAGTAAAAAAAAATAAAAATAACACGAGGCAATATAGTAATAGAGAATAAAGATACCACGAAGCTGTATATATATATATATATTATCATTATCGGGTAAGAAATGACAACGAAAGGCTCGAGTGATAAGAGCAAAAATAGGACGGAGAAAACGAGTAAATAATAAATAGTGATGTGTATGACAGTACGATGTCATTATGTTCTAAAACAATTTGTATGAAAAAGATTGATATCATAACGTAATACAGAAAACTTTCAACAAGGATGTGTGAGTTCCAGCTTGAAGCTCATGATCATCGAGAGTAAAGTATTATCGTACTATAACAACATGATTTTGCTAAAACTATGATGAAATCAATCATTAATTCATGCAGAAAGTCAAAACATAGGTTTTCTTATAAGAAGAATGTTGAATAAAGTCTAGTCAATGATGATTAGAGGACATATCAAGAATACAACCGAATTCGAAGGTTTTCATATTGACCAAACTACAGCTGATTTTATTTTTTTCAATTTTCGTCATTTGAATCGATTAACTAAACATATTGGTACAATCGTCAAAGTGTATAAAAAATAAATTATATTATACAATAAAATTCTCTTCGAGAATAATGAAACCCTTCTGTGTGAAGAAGCATATCTAAAATGATCTTGCAGATTCAGTGACCCTTTCGAGCCGTAAAGCAAAACATGAGCTATTGTAAACTAGGTTACGACGTGTCAAATACTATGCACGAAATTGCGTTTTCGTCATATTTTAATGTTTTAAAATTCCGTACAATAGTATAAAGTGCAGCTATTTTTAATGTAATATTGTTGAAATTTATGACAAAGATTAGAGAGGAAATTAGTATTTATAACAGAAACTAAAGAATATACTTGATACTTCTCTCTTGTTTTCTTTATGCATGTGCATATATAAAGAAAAAAGGAAAAGAGAATCATCAAGTATATTCTTTCGTTTCTGTTATAAATATTAGTTTCCTCTTTAATCTTTATCATAAGTTTCATTGATAATGATCGAATTAAGGCCGCAATACCTGAACGAATTTCAGCTGTATTACATTGAGAATATCTACATTTTGTTTATAATAATACTACATGAGGCATAGTAGCTCCTTAACAGTTAAGTCTCACGTATCAACTTGTATAAACTTCTTTCTAACACTGATTCCTTTGCAGCATTGATTGGTGTGGAATCTCATATATTTGATAGTGACAACTCTCGTCATTGCTCTGATTGTACCCGCAACTGACTGTCTTTATCATCATCACTTGATTTTTAATTTTTGGTGCGCTCTAATATATTGCATACTGTAGCATAGAGAGCAGTAAAGGTGTGAATGCAGATAATACTAAGCATTAGTCGCTAACCTACATCTTTCTGACTGATTCCGATAATGTTTGTCAGAAAGATAATCAAAAACGTTCAATCTTGATTATTGTTTCTCAAAATATTTGGATAATCTTATATTCAATGTGCAAGAAAAAGGATCATGAACTGAAAAGTTAAATAAACGGTTTTTGTATTTTTTTTACTAAAGACGTATGTTAAATGCATTGAATAGATTTATTTCTCTACTAATAGATCTGATTCAAGTTAGTTTTAATGAAATATATCTCTATTGTTGACGACAACGCATAAAACTGATGTCACAAAAGGAACAATTTTAAATTTTCATTTTCAATAAATTCACATCGACCGTTCTTTCAATACAAAAGAAAATAATATAAGAAAGATAATTTAGAAGAAAAGGAATCAATTTTCTTTCATAGGCGCACTTTTCTTTTTCTTTTCGTTTTTCGTCACAAAATAAATGATAAGAAAAATCGAGAATTCATTATTTTCAAAGAACTCAAAAAAAAAACATAATAACAAATAAAATTATTGATCAATATTTATATTGCGAATCCACATGCAAAAGATATTCCATATTGAATTGATCAGCATCATAGACAATATATTTGTTGTACGATAATGAAGTTTGTTAAAAATATGATGGAACAAATGAGCAAAAAGATACGAGGCGGATTTCGATGGGCTCAAAACAGTAGAGACAATTTTCCTAATAACAATGCAAAAATTTTGTCTTATCTCGTTTCGTTTGGTACTCAGCTATTTCACATCCAATCGAAAATATTTTTATATTTGGATGATCCTTGAATTGTCCTCTTTCCAATGATATATAAATTTCCTTTTTACTTACGTGTTATCATGGAGAAATTAGCGGTCTACGATGAAGAAGTCTGAATGTCGTTATTAAGTATCGATTCCCTAATAACGACGGTCAGCAAAATTTATTGACCCTAAGAACGACGCTCCAGCAAAAAATAAGGGAACAACTACTTCTAAAGAAAAAAAAATCGTTTTGATTGGATGTAAAATAGCTGAGTACAAAACGAAACCAGATAAGACAAAATTTTCGCGTCATTATTAGGGAAATTGTCTCTACTAATGCAATTTGATTATTCATTCTTATCCAATGCATGTGTGGCAGATAGTAACTATTTAAATTATTTTTCTGTTCATTTCTTTTTCCATCCACGCTAGCAATCAGACACATGTTTCCTTTTTCTTTCAATCGTCTTCATTTCTCGGTTGCCTACCATCCATCAACGTCACTGTACCGACGATTACTTTATTTGGTAACGAATAAAGTAGCCGTATTTTATGATAATAAATATTTATGATATTGACGAGAAATCAAAAGCATTCGTTGAAACAATTACGATAGGCACAGTCTTGAATCGAATTGATCAACCAAATGAAGTGGCCAAAGTGGGTGCGTTTTTCGCATCGGACGATAGTTCAAACATCACTGGTATTGAACTGTTTTTGAATGGCAGTTTTGCACAAGATAGAGGTTCTTCTTCTTTCGTGTATTTGATAAAATTGTCAATAAAACTCAATTCTTATTTATGAAAAACACCATAAATTGTTACTGTTCAATACTATTCTATATAAACAGAACAGCTTACATGCATCATACATTTTCAATTAGTTGGAATCGATTGGTACAATAAAGACTCATAATGAATTATGATACAATTTTCGTGTTTTATTTTCTGAACTGAAATGATCTTGAGAGTGAAAGTGAGATGCTTTAGAAATTTGAAAAATGAAGGAAATGGAATGTTAGAATATTTGAAAATCTGCTTTTAAGAAGTCTTATTTAGGAATCATTCTAACGTGGATGATTGCGATTTTAAATCAATACATTCGAATATAAGTTGTCTTATTATTCTTGCTTTTTTATTTGATGCTCAATCATCTTATGGGTGTGATGCTCAAAGTTAATATCATCCAAACACGACAAAACATAAAAAAATTAATTGATAATTACATATTCATTTGATATTTGAAGCTGATTAAAAATAAGTTCGAGAAGAATAACTCTTTCGTCTGATGCGTCGCTTCTTCTGCAAGGTTTTCATCGTCTGTATCTTCTGACACAGTGTGTTTTATTATAGAGATAATCGTTTGAAATCATGCAAGCAAGTTGACATAAGAATTGAATAGCTTTAGTAATCTTTGATAGAATTTTAAATAATATCTCTTTTAATTCGGTTTGATTTAAATTTTGAAAAATCTGAGTCGTTATTATTTCTGCACTTGAATTTGGACTACGATCGAATCCTACGAATTACTGTTTTTTTTATTATGATCTAAGATATCCCATGCCTCTCGTAATGCTGGTACTGTCGTTCCACCTATTTCAGCTATGACAGTTGTCGTTGTTCTTGTTAATGGCCTTGAAGTGTCATTTGAACTTTCCACCGTCTTATTAGCAACTGAAGAAATATAAATATTCCATATAGCTCCAGCAAGACTTCCAACAAATGGTCGATAGTCCAACGGTATAAACCGAAAGTTAATAAATGAGATAAATGGCCAGTAACATGTGCCAGCAAGAAAAGTTTGTGGCATGTCAGTTTTGACTTTTATTCTTGCTTCACGAAAAGATTGACCTTTCAGAAGAGAGACAGATGTAAAAACGAGACTTATACCAATCGGTGCAAGTAGTGTATTAGTCAACATTTTCTTTGCAATTCGAATACCTTGTATTCCTATTGAAGATATAAAAAGATAGAGGAAGGATAAATACTCTAAGTATTGAAAAACTAAACGAAATTGCTCTTTTTTAAACTAAGATGAAGTTGAATATACAGTGCTACTATATATTTCCAAAGTGGCTCTCAATTCTATCATTTTTCACACTTTCACAAGGTATAAGTCAGCTAACCTTCCAGAGCATCAAATTTTGAAGTCTACTGACACTCTCAGTCTGTACTAACCTGGAAATAGTCGTTCAACTATTCTTGAAAGTGCGAAGGACCAGGGTGTCGTTACTAAGACAGCTGACGTACACATTATCGAAGAACGCTGCCTGTTCCACCAGGGTAGTAAGAAGGGTGATGACGTTACAGAATTGTTACCACCTGTATTCTCCTTATTTCTTTCTAAATATTGACATATAAAATCGCCTATTGTTACACTTGCACCAATGGCTAATGTTGAGAATATATAGGGTTTGATCAGACTACTCCATCCTATTTAAAAAAACGACAATACCAAGGTACTATGAAACAGCAGAGCCAACAGCCTATAGATATACCTTGTTGTGTTCGAATTACAACTTTTACAGCGTTAGTAGGAACGGCAGCCATGTTAAAAATGAATTACATAAGCAATGTGCGATGAGAAAATGAAACACGTGAGATAGAAAGAAAAAAAAAAAGAAACGATATAACGTTCGTGTCGATAGAAAAGAGAATACCAACGTACGAGAATTATGACAGCATCCTATTATTGAGTGCACTTTCTGTTCTGTTCTTCTTTCCTCTCTCTCTCTCTCTTGTTGCAAACCCTTATATTTTGCTTTTATGCTTTTCTTTTCTGTTATCTTTGCTTTCTATAATGAGTCATTTATGTGCAGAACTATAAGATACAACAGACGACTTCCTCTTCAGTCGTTGTATGGTATCATTTTATGAGGCAAAATGGTGAAAGTTTAACATTAAATAAGTCGATACCTGATAAAGAATAGAATAGGTAGAATTTTTCATCGTCCGACATCTGAGTCATGAACTCAGCATGTTTCCTCTGTGCGAGTGTGCACTGTGGCTAGGTGGTACCTTCATCCACATAATAATATCCACATTCCATGATCAGATCTGAAAACGATTTTCTCAATGCTTCAAAAATAAACAAAAGATAACTCATGATTTCTACCTCAGCCGCTATTGTGTTGTATGCGCTGGTTAATTCGTTATTTTTCTTTGATGTGATCTTATGTTTATAAAATTATAATCAGTAGAAAATGAAAAGAGATTGGTTTAACTGATTCTTCATAGAAAAATTAATTGTTGCCTAGTGTGTTGTGTTTGATAACACATAAGATCAGACTACCGAAAATTCTCAGTGAAACACGACTTTTTATGCATGCTGATGTAAACAATATTAAGTAGAGTAGAAAAGAAGTTAAAATCGTCTACGCATTTGGCATTTCATTCTCTTATGACAATCATCAGATATTAATGGTATCTGATGATAATGGAGGCCTACAAAAAGAACATGGAAGTACCGTTATTTGCTAGTCAGAACATCGTGAACGCATTGTAGAAAACGAACATAGAGTGAATCTGACGTCTTTGATACGTCCTCATTCTCAGGTCGAAACTATATATTCGTTGGACGGCTATTGGAAATTTCAGAGAAAGCGTAAGTTAAAAACGAGCACAAAACACCGATCATACCATCGGTATATGACCCCAAACGCATATGTCTCATTTTTAAACTTTTGAGAAAACTCGAAGACAATACTTGTTCCTGTTCGAAATTTGAAAACAATCCCATGACAACATGATCTGTCTGCAGATAAAATTTTGGCGCAAAATTATCAGTCATTGATGTTGTTCGAGAATGACTATGTATAATGTCCAAAACAGAAGAAAAGAATTGCAAGTCGGAAAGTACTAACTAGAAGATTAAGCCTTGTTATGATTCATTATGTTGCTCTTTGTGAAGTCAATACATGCAAAAAGATGTCACGTCGAAAGCAACTTCTCATGTGATAATTTTATATTATATGAGCATGTTTTAAGAAAAAATAATAGCACATCATGAGACATGTTTGCTGAGGCATTTGGTTGAAATACCATTGTGCTATTTTATCTTGTTTTCTTCATTAGCTCATAATACTTTATATAATCACGTGCATGAGAACGAATAAAAAACGAACTGTGAGTAGAGATAAGATAGGCGCTAACAGCCTTAAGAGTTTCAGATTGAAAACATTTTTTTTTAATCTTCATAACACATACTACTAATCTCCTTAGATGGTCTAGATCGATGAACCAAGCACCATTTGATTGCACTATCTTTCTCTAATCCTCAATTATTACTGAAAGAAAAATATGCGAAAACTGAAATATCATAATCAGGTAATAACATTATGACCATTTTCATACAGTTGATTCTAGAAATGCATCTCTAAAATACATTTAACTATTTCGAACTTAAATATTCATCTATAAAACATAAATAGAACGACCAGTACTCTGAATGTCAAAGGGTATCATGATTAACAATGACGATCCATTGTATTTTTATTATGTCAATAAATAGGCAGGAAAGGACATGTTTTACAGAAAAAATACAAAGGTAATTATATTGATTTCTGGTACAGATGAACAGTAAACAACAAAAAATCGGCTCTCTAGTGTTTGATCAATTTCAATACTCAAACTATTACACCATTTGATAAATCATAACTATGGTTGATATCAGCGAGGGAAATGTTGACTGACAAATGTGAAGATTCTTGTAAGATTCAATCAAACGTTTGCTCAAAAAGTTTGTCAGTTCTGTAAATTTCTAGATGCACTAATAGACAAGTCAAACGTATCAGAATTGGTCCATATGTTACATAATTATACAATCAACAGCTGACGACAGCATTAGAATGAGAAGCTATGGTGAAAAAGAGCAAACGATTCATGTTCCACTATTGTCTTATAGTATGGCGTTACAACATTATTGAAATCATGCATTAAAATACTAGTCCATAAATTAATTCCAAAAGCTGCATGCGATTCTACTAAAGTCAAATGAGGTAAATATGAGTTACACATCATCTGTAAATCTATGGAAATATACATACTGAGAAGAGTATCTAAAGTTCGTATGAAATTATTGCAGCAGCTCCAGTATATATCTATCGATAAGATAAAAACTAAAGTTTAGTATGATCATTGGATTTTGTTAGCTTCAAACAAAATGCAACATTTGATGTATCCCTACAGCTATCTTTCACGTTTTACAATCGATCATTAGAATCTTATTTCAATCAGTTCACTAGAAAAACGTAGTAGAAGTCAAAGTGACTCGATTAAAAAACGGCATCTTTTGTAATCTAATTTTGGTACATCATAGTTTCTGTTATTCGAAAATCTTACCATAAGTTCTCATCTCTATGATATCGCTTGACTTAATTTTCTCATAGGCAATACAACAGAGAACACAATACACTAAAGGAATAAATCTCGATGAGATAAGCTATACTTAACGATATGTTTATCAGAAAAAAAAATCGATCATGAACCATGAAACAACTAGATTTCTCATGATATGTTTGTGAGTTACCAGTGAGATAAGAATTAACCGTTTTGAAAGTAAAAAAATATCATTTTCTAAAATTCTAATGTACCATTCGATCGGTCTTTCTCAAAATTGGTTTTGAAAAAGATTCGATTCTACTATGCAGACTTCCGATCCTTTAGTATGTATGGTTGCAATAATGATCACAGAACACAATAGACAACGAAAAGAACGCACGGCATACAGAAATAAAAAGAATCGATGGGGCAATCAACAGAAAGGAAAGAGTATATAACCTTGAAGTTATATATTTTTTTTCTTCCTTCTCTAGAGTGCAATCGAAAAAAAAAACACTGTTTAATACACTGAAAATATGTAATTCAAAGAGTTGTGCGACAAATTAACTAAAAGCAGGATTTTTCAACACTTGTCTAAATCAATCCATATTTCAAGTATGTTTGTTTGGCATGCTAATCTTATTTTTAGAGTCTACTTCTATCAACAGAAACAATAAATCTATGTTTGAATCAAATATCATGTCGCAACTTATATTAAATATGTTTTTTTTGTTGTCTGTTGAAGAGTAGCATGTGCAGTTTATTTATGTAGAAGCCATACGGTAAGAATGCTCTCATTGTAACACTAGTAAAATATGGGTTGCAGATTATGAGTTTGAAACTCACAGAAGTTAAAACTCATGTGTTAAGACGATTTTATTCTAAATTAGCATAATTATTCAATATCTCAATTGTTCCCTTTAAAAAAGTTTACGTAGAAACCGGCTGCATTAAAAGAGACTCTATATTAAAGTGCATTTTTTTTTCTTATTGAGAAGAGTGACTAGATGCGTCGCGAGACAGAACATATTAAAAGTGCTCGAATAACAATTCATATTTACTCGAAACTCTAGTTACGACAAAATGTCGATGAAATGCAATGAGTCTTATGGAATGACAACAGTGTTCTATAAAAGTTAAATTTGAAATTAACAGATATATGTATCTTTTGAAAGCCAAATTTTATTTCCAAATGACATTTTAACGAAAAAAATTCTTATTTCTGGCGCAGAAGGATCTAGAGTGAAAATTTTCAAACGTTCAAAAATATATGAAGAAGTTTTAGTCAGCCTGGTCAGTTGGTATACTCAACGATATTTATTAACTCTGTATGTATGAATACCCATTGTAACGGTTTCTGAACATTATTAGTATGAAAATGGGTAGTAGGTCAATTCGCTGAATGAGTCTAGAATATTGACATCCCTATGTTTTGATCAGATTGTCAGTGAAGAACTTTTATTGATTATGGCATTATTCGAATTTTATGATAAATAGAACTTCACCTAGTTATGTAGTTTGGGTCTCAAAAATAAATGGAATGGATTTGGGTTTGTAATGAAGAGACACTTGTCTCTAGAAGATAAGACGGTTCCAGTTCAA